TTGACTGTCATTTGCAGCCCCGGAGACTAGAACTGGTCGTTAAGAAACACTAACGAGAGATTCTGCTCAGCGAAAGGACTACTATGTGAAAACATGTATCCCCGTAGTCACCAAATCCAGCCGCAAACATTTAATTTCCACTGTGGCTATATGTAGAGGTGGGGCTGATGTGGGGTGATTTAGTCTCGAGGACAAAGCCTTCAAGAACAGGATAAGAGAAGCTCTGGACAGACTTCTATCACGCCAGGCTTGCAGGGAGTGAAATTGTCACTCCTAGTCCTCTTAGCTTTTCCTGAGCCTTACTATGTGCCAGCCCCAGATCTAGAGATGACAAAGCCCAAGACCACAGTAGATGGAATGATGGCAGTCCCTCTAGTTGTGGCTGGACTCCAGAGCATGAGTAGGATCAACCAGCCCAAGGGGAGCCACAGAAGTCCAGTACATTACAAATGTAGCCAGTGGGACTTAGTTCTGAAAAACTGCTGTGGATATACAGATGCATACACAAATACATTCTATATTTTCTCATAATGAGTATATAAAGAGGGGAACACTCAATTCAGAATTCAAGAGGAGGAATGCTGGATAGTCCCCACCAAGATCAGAAAGTGTTGCTCTTCTCCCATCAGGAGATCCACCATTGGATAATGGTGTAGTTTACATATGAAATGCTAGCCTGTGGTGGCATACTTTTAATCCTAGCACCCTGGGGGCAGAGGCAGGGGGATCTCTGTTTGTTTCAGGCCAGCCTGGTCTACACAGTGAGTTCCTGACCAGTTGGTGCTACATACATAGTAAGACCCCGTCTCAACATACAAAACAACACAAAGAAAGTTCCCCAAAGGCTCACGTGTTTGAACACTTGGTTCCCAGCTGGTACATTCATTGCTGGGGAAGATTGTAGAGCTCTTAGGAGGTGGAGCCTTGTTGGAGGAAGTGGGTTACTGGGGGAGGGACTTGAGCTTTATAGTCCAAGACTGCTTTCTGGTCTCCTTTTCTTGCCAAATATGGATGCAGTGTGAGCAGCCAGCCTCCTGTTCCTGCCACCACACCTTCCTCGACATGATAGACTGTATCTTTCTGCAACTGTAAGCCGAAATAACCTGCTTCTCCTTTCAGTAGCCTTTGTCAAGTGTTCATTATAGCAACAGGAAAGCCACAATGACTACATGTGCTCCAAGAGTTGCTGATGCTGGTGAAAATGTGCTGCCTTCTCGGTTCCATCTCGCAAACCTCTGTGCACCTTTAGGGCACAGATGTGAACCAGGCATGGAGCAGTCAGGGAAACAGCGGTGTGCCAGAACCTGGCCTTCCTTGGGAAGCCCCATGGCTAGAGCTGCCCTCTTCTGGAGTCTGAGCTGCCCCAAAGGCTGCTGTTACATGGTGAGCATCCTTCATTTGAGAATCTGAAATCTAAACTTCTCTAGAAGATGGAACTTTTCAAGCACCAATCTGATGCAGAAATTTCCACAAATTAACCTTTTGTTTCGCATGCAAAATTACCCAAGACACTGAATAAAGAACCTATCTTCAAGCTATATATAGAAAGTGCTTATGAAACCCAAGATGTTTTGCTTAGACTTAAAACATTCCCGACATATCGCATGTACACAGAAATATATCTGAGTCCAAAAATCTGAAATCCAAAACACATGCAAACCCAAGCCTTTGGATATGAGAAACTACGTAGGTACTAACTAACCTGAGCCTCCAGAACCACAGGTCAACAGTTTAGTTCCAAATGAGCAGTTCATCTGAATAGACCCAGGGAAGCATCTGATGCTCCTGAGCAATGATAAAAACGATTGCTCACCTTCGGAGCCACGTTTAGCGAACTGTCAGTACGCATCCTACCATAAGCTTGTTTTCAGTCTGTGGTAGGCATGACTAATCAACTCTGGCACTGGACATCATCTTTCCTCAGCCTACTGTTCTAGACAGCTGCTACAGAGTGCTATTCCAGAACACATCAATTTCACATATTTCTTATTTGATCTCTAACTTGCATTTCATGAAATATCCACAAAGAACAGAAAACAAAGATGGCTGACCCACCTTCAAGTCAGAGAAATAGTTAGGGAGATGGTTCAGTCAGTGAAATGCCTGCTGGGCAAACATGAGAACCAGAGTCCAGATCCCCAGAACCCACATAAAAAGCTAGGCATAGTGGTATATGCCTACATCCCCAGCTCTGGAGAGGCAAAGAGAGGTGGGTCCCTGAAGTTCATTGGCCAGCCAGTCTAGCTGAATTAATGCCCCTGTCTCAACAACAAAACAAATAAACAAAACACCCACAAAAACAACAAACCAGAGGTGGAAAGGGCAGGAGAGATGTCTCTGTGGTTAAGAATACTTGCTGCTCTTACAGAAGACCTGACTTTGAATCCCAGAATCATGGCAGCTGGCTTATAACTGCTTGTAACTCCAGTGCCCTCTTCTGGCCTCAGTGAGCATGCACTTACATGTGTAAATACACACACACACACACACACACACACACACACACACATAAAACTAATAAAATAAATCAAGGAGAGTGAATAAAGGTGGAGAGTGATTAAATAAGGTACCCTACATCGACCTCTAGCCTCCACAAATGCACATGTACATACACAATTTACCTACCCCATGCACACACTTACACTCCCAATGCTAGCAAGTGTATATATACACCAAAACAACGGGGGGGGGGGGCAGGAACAGAGGCAATAGAAGTACAGTGAGGTCCCACAGCTGTGAGCCAAGGACTAAGGCAGAGAAAGACAACACCTTCCCCCAAGTATTGTTCTGTCTCCATTTTCTCTCTTGCTGACAGCTGAAAAGTGGGAGGGCTCCCAGTAGAATCACACAGCACCACCACCCCTAGATATGTTAAAGGAGACCAGGTGGCAGCTAACCTCAAACCCCAGATCAGATACAGGCTACTTCAACAAAGATGCAGGCAAGGTGGTACCAGAGCCCTCAATGATGTGAGCCTTGGACATCCATCTCCATCCCCAGGGAGGCATTGAAGTGCTCAATAAATGATCATGGAACTAAGTGAAGGCAGTGACTGTACCAGGTAAACAGTCTCCCACGAACTCCTCAGCCTCACCGAGCCTCCATTTCCCCATCAGTAAAATGGGAAATCTATTACCTACTTCCCAGAGACAGAGGAGTCTACAAGAGAAAAGTGTCCTAAAGAATGTGGTGTGTGCAATAAGGGAGAGCAGGAGGAAGAGGAGGGACTGGAAGAGAATAGTGCAACACAGTTTAGGAGTCCTCCCAAGATGCATGCAGTGGTATCTACACTTACTACAGTCCTCTCCCGGAGTGTGAGCAGGACCTGTAACTCCAACATTATGGAAGAGAGTCCATCCCACAGGGACAATTGCTCCAGAGACTGGCTCCCTTGCTGACACTGAAGGAATGAGATTCCAGTGTGGCAAGAAGTTAAAGAACAGCTGCTAGGAGGTGATGGTGATCGTCCAGCTGGTAGTCAGCAAGAAGCCAGGACCCAGAGTCCTCCAGTCACAAGAAAATGAGTTCTGTCAATAATTCAAGTAAGCATGAAAAGCCAACCCTTTTCCAGCGAGTCCCTATGTGAGGATGTGGCCCTGAACATACTGTGACCACAGCCTGACCTAGGTGATGCCTGGAAGCTGTGAGACAATCAAGATGTGGGTTTTTGTTTGTTTGTTTGATTGGTTGATTTTTTTTTTCAAGACAGGGTTTCTCTGTGTAGCCCTGGTTGTCCTGAAACTCACTGTAGACCAAACTCAAACTCACAGATCCACCTGCCTCTGCTTCCTGAGCAGTGGGATTAAAGGCGTGAACCACCACCTCCAGCTAACACAAGTTGTTTTAATGGCTGCCTTTGTAAGGATTGGCTATAAACAGCAAGAGAAAAGTAGTCCAGGGACTTTGAGGAGGGGGAGAAGCCAAACTCAGAAATTAATGCTAAGGCATAGGGGACCCTCTTTCTCTGTCAGTGGCAGCCTCCACTTTCAGCCTAGGCCCACTGCCTGTGTTTCTATGGATCTCCCTGCAGAACTTTAGCACAGCTTCAACCCTGAAACCCACTTATTTCTTACAGCTCAAGGGAAAGCAGCTTTTTCACAATAGCCAGAAGCACTGGCGCTCCATCCTTTCCCTGTACCTTCTCCCCTGGCACGAGTGGCTTGCCACAGCTGATGATAGTGACCATCAACCAGATAATGCCCACTAACAGACTGCCACAGCTCCAACTCAGGCAGGGATGCAGACCCAAGGCAGTGCCATGGCCAGCACCCACCCACTGATATGCCTGCCCCTCCCAGCTCAGGTCCAAGAACATTCCATTGTTCAAGCTCCTTTGCACTGGTATTAAAACCAGAAACCACCAACCATCTCTTGAGCTTTAGTCTTTGATTTCTCAGCCCCAATTAGGGTTGCAGGATTAAACAGCCCTGCATTTTCTTTTGCTTTCTGAAATGTGCCCAAAGTTTTCCAAAAAGGAATGTGTGAGTTGAGGAAAGAGTGTCAGACAGGAGGCAAAAAGCAGGCAGTGTGCCCCTTTCACAGGCCCCAGCTTCTCCCCTCTGACCCCGGGCATGCTTTTCCCTGTGAAAATCAAGGCGATTGATTCTGTGTGATTTTTCTTCTTTGGAAATCACAGGCTGGCCTCAAATTTACTATATAGCCAAGTATGGCCTCGAAAGTCTGATCCTGCCTCTATGTGCTCATCAGACTGGCATACTAGCATGCATCACCACACTGGGTTTATGCAGTGCTAGGGATGGAACCTGGGGCTCGAATGCCAGTTGAACATTCTACCAAGTGAGCTATATATACCCTCAGCCCTGCTGAGTTTGAACAGAAACAGCAAGCCAGGTTCCACACAATTAGAATCAAAAGAAAATCAAGGGAATGGTCAGCATGCGGGGCAAACATGTCAGGGTTCCCATTTCCTCAGCCCACTGGACCTTTCTGGACTGGCTTTGCTGTAACCCACTAGCCTACAAAGGGAAATATGAACTTACCTACAACCTGGATGATCTGGGCCAGGAGCACGCCATCGGTCACATCTTGCTGGAGGTCCTTGATGAGGCGTTTGTGGCCAGATTTAGCGAGGTAATGATTGGCCCAATCGGTGTATATCTACAAAAAAGCACACAGGCAACTTCAGGAATCTGGGCAGGGCATACTGCAGAGTCAGAGGCAACTTCTGGGACCCATGCTTGGGTGCCACAGTCACTGTCCTGCTCGCACTGTGGAGCTAGGGAACTCCAGAGCCGCCAGAGCCATTAACATTCAATGCATTGTCCTGAGGAGGTATTCAGCTAGCTACAACAGTCCTGTCTATTGAGAAAGCTGTGTCAGGGCCCCGGGAAAAGCTTAAGAGAGCGTCAAAACATGCAGAGACCTGAATAGGCCAGGGGACAAGGAACTAACAGTTTGCTCCATACAGCTTTGAGACACTGCAACTCTGAAGGCAAGTGGGGCTGCTTCCACCCCTTCTCATCTATTTCACTTTATGGAGAAAACGTATGGGTAGGTTACCACCCAATGGGCATCTTTGAATGGGCCATTTTAGGGCAAGGAGGACTATTAAGTGAGCAGAGTTCTCAGGAGCCTGGCTCCCTTGTAAAGCAGCCAAGAAGGAAAGACAGAGTCCTGCTACCACACACACTTAAGTGGAACTAACTATGGCCTCACCATCATTGAAGATTTAACTGGGCTAATTAAAAGCCAGCCGCCATGTCAGGATTCTACAAATAAAACCCAGCCAATTCCAATACCTGCTGTGGGACTTTATTCCCTGGAGGGATAAATGTCAAACCTTATAAAGGATCAGCTACAAAAGTATGAGTGTACCAATGTCTAACTTGGAGAACCAGAATTTGTTGGGCTTACTTACAGAACACTGTGACCTCAAAGCAGTCACAACTGTGATAAGGCTTATCTCAGGATGATGACCATCTCCCCATAGCTGGAAAGATGCCATCTCTCCTTCAATTAACTTTCCACAGATTATACACTTTAGCACCTCCCTTGGCCAGGGAGCCACAGGCAATCGTGACAGAATTATATACAACTGACCAGAAGGTATAAGACGAGGAGCAGCTAGAATCTCGGTGGAGGGTCCAAAGATACCCTTTTCCCTACTCCATCTATGGACGATGTCAGCAAGCAATAGAACTGATCTTGTGGGGTCCCTGTGAGTTGTCACAGGTTGCGGAAGAGGAGGATGGCTGTTATGCTCAGGGGAGCACTCAACAGCATCTTTAAGTACATCAATGTGCACAGTGGCCCAGAAGGCAAAAGCTAGGCAGCCCATGGGAGAGCAGATCCCTTGGGGAGCTCAACACCTGCGCTTCTACGTCACAGACTCATCAGAGCAAAAAGACATTTTCTTCTAGGTAGGGAAGCAAAGAAAACTCATCCAAAGTCAGACTAGATTCCCCAAACATTTCCCCAATGATTTGGAGAGCTATGCTTATTTCTGAGCTTGTATGGAAATGTGGGGTGGAGATGGACATACAGGTTCTTGTAGGTCCCCCACCTTTCTCAGTGACATAAAAGACTACTGCTCAAAAGAAGGGATAACACCTTCCCAATTGGTCAGAAGCACAGGTTCACATCCAAGCCTTCTGATGCCTTCTCCCTCCACCTGTAGGCCTAACCAAGAATTCAAAAGGCTTACAGAGTAGAACCTCAACAGGTCCTGGCCTCTTCCCCCCAGGCTTGACTACAGGAAGTCTCACTTTGTTGAAGGTGCTGTTCCTAAGGCTTCTGGGGAAAACTGGGGTACTAGGCAGCATCTCCAGCTTGGGTACCAGCTCTTACATCTATGCTTGACTCCTCCCCAGACTGCCAAGTTACCCAAGACCAGACAGAGAGCTGGTAAAGAAAGAAATCTTTCACTTTCTTGGTTTTTATTTTGTTTTGAGTTAGGTGTTAGATAGCCAAGGCTGTCTATGCAGACAAGGATGACTTTGAACTTCTAATCCTCCTGCTCAGTAGTGAGACAGCAAGTGTGCATCACCATACATGCTGTTATATGGTTCTTGGGAGCAAACCCAGGGCTTCATAAATGCTAGGCAAGCACTCTACCAATTAAGCTACATTTCCAGGCTCATATAATTCATATAATTCAATTCAATAAAGAAATTGAAGGAATAAAAATACCATAGTGGCAGTTAAAATGGGAAAACTGAAATTTAACCAGTTAATAAATGAAATTCAGAAGGAAGGATGAAGAAAAACACAAAAAGGAAAGGAGACAGACCTGGGTTCCAGTCCCAGTTATGAAGGCAGCTCTAAGGAAGAGACTGGGTCTGTTTAGTTCAGTGATGCTCCACAAGTTAGTACAATAGCACAGTACACCTCAACATTCCAGGGCAGACAGATGGCTGGTTACCTGGTTGACCACAGGGAGACATCAAAGCCATCTGATAAGGTTTTTTTTTTTTTTTTTTTTTTTTTTTTTTTTTTTTTTGGTGGGGTGACTGTGCTGCCTGGCTATGGTGAGGACTGAATCAATCAACATATTTGGAGGTGAGCTCTGATTTTTGGTTTTAGATGGGGTCTCTCTACATAGCCCTGGCTGTCCTGAAACTCATTCTGTAGAACACGCTAGCCTTCACCTCACAGAGATCTGCCTGCCTCTGCCTCTCAAGTGCTAGGATTAAAGATGTGCACCATAATACCCAGCTGAAGACAACTTCTTATTCCAAAACTGGAGTGTAACAAATCTCAACTAAGACAATACAGTGTCTGCTACACTTGAAGCCTCCCCTAACTGTCCTACATATGTGAACTCACCCAATCCTCTATGTTGTCTACATTCTGTGGTATAGACACGATTGTGGTAGCCATTGTCAGTGGGGAAAACTGTAGAAAGGCAAAATACTTTATTCAGGGTCATCAAACGTAACAGAGCCAGGAGAAGAGCCCACACTGAGTTGTTCTAGCCTTCCCTATACATTCTTCAACATTGCTTCTCTGAATAAAGTCTATGTTAGTCATTCATCCCCAGTGACACCCTATACGCTCCTTCCTCTATTTAGTTACACTGAAAGAATTCAAATTTAAAAACAAGACAAGCCCCAAGGCTGGCTTTTTGCCTTGCTATCTGAATGCCATTGAGTAAGTCATCCATTGAGCAAGTCACCCAACCTTTCCGAGTTTCAATTTATTTACCATAACTGAAAGCTTGAACCACATCCAAGATAAACCTTTCTTCTTTTATGGTGACTTTTCTCAGGTATTTGGTCACAGTGATGGAAAGCTGACTGGCACATTTGCCAGCCAATAAGATCAATAACGACAAGAATCTCTCAAAATATAGAGGCATCTCATAGGCCATGTAGGAGGGACAACTTTAAAATACAGAAATTTAAAGCCATGTGCCCCAGGACTCAGCTGAGTGAGAAGCAGAACTCAGTCAGGACTCTGGTAAGTGGCCCAACTCTGTCCCTCCCGAGGTGGCTCCAACTCTTCAAAGTAGGCATGCTGTTTAGAAAGACAAGCCTTTATGTGAGTTCATACATTCTAGCTAGAAGCCAGGATTAAGCCACTTTCTTTCCAGGAATGTATACACATCTGTGCACACATGCATGTATGCATACACTGGGTAGAGCAATAGAGAGGCCATGCAGGTATCAGGTACACAGAACCTTTGAATGGAAAAAGTGAACAACAATGACCCTTTCCACTCCAAAATAAGAATTCTTGCTGCTCATATAATCCCAGAATTCCTAGCAAAACTGTGGGTTTGAGGTTATCCTGGGCTACACAGCAAGTTCAAGGCCAGTATCATAGTCTGTTACTGTGATAACACTGACCAAAAGCAACTTGGGGAGACAAGGGTTTTTTAAGTTTATAGGTCACAGTCCATCATCAGGAAAGCCAGGACAGAAACCTGGAGGCAAAACTGAAGCAGAGACCATGGAGACGATGCTTACTGGCTTGCTCATATGGCTTACTTAGCCTGCTTTCTTATTTCATCCAGGACCATCTGCCCAGGGGTAGCACTGCACACCATGGGCTAGGCCCTCTCCTATCAATCATTAACCAGGAATATGTCCCGCAAACATGCTTATAGGTCACTCTGATGGAAGCACTTTCTCAATTACTTGTGTGGAATTACTTGTGTCACATTGACAAAAACAAAGCAACAACAACAACAAACAAACAAAAAACCAAACCAAACAACAACAACAAAAACTAACCAGCACAAGCTGTATAGTGAGCTCCTGACTCAAAAAGAAAAAACGAAATCCAGGGCTGAGGCAGAGGAATGGTTCAATGGTAGAGGGCTTGCCTACCTATGTAAAGCCCTGGGTTTGATCCTCAACACTGTAAAACCAAACAGGAAGCTCCCCTGTGACCTTTAACCTCCCTGGCAGGACTCACAGTGCTGCCTGCTCAAGGTGGTTCCCCACTTCCCAGCACGTAAAAGCAACCTTTCCACATTATCACTCAAGACATTTCATATGCCTACTCTTCCCAGAATGCCCTCAACCCTCAAAGGGGGAAGGGAGAGCAGTGAATATGGAAAGGCACAATACAGATCCCTGGGATCTGACTAAATTGCCTCTGGTCCAGGGCAAGTTAGTTTCTAATAATCTTTAATTCCTTGGTGTCCTAATTACTTTTCTATTGCTGTGACCAATAGACACCATGACCGATGCAACTTATAGAAGCAAGCATTTAATTGAAGGCTTTCTTACAATTTCAGAAGGTGAGTCCATGATTATCATGATGGGGTCAGGGCAGCAAGCAGGCAGGTACGGCATGGAGCTACAGCTGAGAGCTTACATCTGACCCACCGGTTAGAGGCAGAAAGGTGACTTGGCGTGAACTTCTGGAACCCCAAAGCCCGTCCCCAGGGGCACACCCCCTCCAACAAGGCCACACCTCCTAATCCTTTCCAAAAGTTTACAGTAACTAGGGGCCAAGCATTCAAATATATGAGTCTATGGGGCCATTCTCATTCAAATCACCACAGTCAGCTTCATCACCCATAAAATGGGGACTGTATCAAATATAAGGTGGTACTGGCAAGTCATGGCCCGGACCAATGCCAGCTGGGCACCTGTTTCTGTTAGTAAAGTTCATGGGACACAGCCACATCCTTTTGTGGTCTCTGGCTG